CTTTTTTCATAGCTGCTGTGATGGATAATTATTGATACATGTCTGGAATTACTGTACTACTATAAGTTAATGTCTTACTAGTGCAGCTGACCGCACTTGCGCTGTGCTATGGGTGTCTTATTTTTGTGATCATAAACAGTCACCATTATTAATTTTCGAATTAGTTCAGATTTACTGCTTCACAGATTTTGCTTTGAGTTTCTGCGTTGTTTTCGTTTAGTCAATTAATTATGCTCTGTATATTCATTTTTTACTGTCCGTTAATGGTAAATTGTTATTAATCTTTTAAGGAATCCGGAACAGCTACTGCTAGTTTTCCTACAGTGCCTCAGTCTCTGTCCCTTTCTGAATCAGAAATTAAGGCATTTACTACAGAAGGTTTTTCAGATGCTATTGTTTCTTCTGACAAGTCCGCACCACCTGATTCTTCCAAAGTTGTTGATGTGAAGGATGATCTTTTGGCTTTCGCATCTCAAGTTGGTCCAATAAAAGCTGAAACTCATGGGTCGGGTGATGGTGTAGTTTTGTCCGAAATGGAAGCCGCAGTTTATCGTGCGAAGTTGATTGAACAACGGCGCTTAGCCAAGGAACGAAGACAAAAAGAAGAAGAAGAAGAAAAAAGGTGAGTGTGCATAGTAAGGTATGAGTACATGTAACTAAGACATTTTTGAGTGAGCGAGATTAATTGTCATGTATATTATATCTACCTTAAATGTTAATAGGATAGTAGGCCATATTTGTTTCACCATTACTATCATCTAAATAGCGCAAGTAATCTAGTCAACTTATAGAGGAACTTTCATCCAACAAACAGATCCAAGTCGTTTAATAAACTTGTAACATTTACATTTCTGTTATTCAATCTACCATCACAAAATCCTACTGTCAATTCAGTTGTTCTTGTACTATCAACAGCTCTCCATGCGCAGAGAAATTTCATGTCTCTTTGAAATCGAGAATGCTACACTGCTGTTTAGAAACGACTGAAAATATTCGACTATTATGAAGTATGCAGGAAACCATATGTAAAGGTAAAAGTGTTCACAAAAGCCACTGTTGGACAGAACGGGCCATCGCACGTCGTTTAGGCTTCTGTACATGGACTAAAAAAAGATGAAATAGAACCGAACGTATCATGCGTTGAGGTATTACTGCAAATGGAATTTCATATAGTTGAACATCATATGACATTAAAAGCGAGTTATTTGCATTGAATGTGCTCTTTAATTATTGTCATTTCCTTTTAGGCGCGTAGAAGAAGAAAATCGTTTGCGAAGTATGCAACAAGAGCAAGCTAGGTTAGCTGCTGAAGAAGAACTTCGGTTGAAAGAAGAACAGGCTATTCGTCAAGCTGAGGAGACTCAGCGTAAAAAAGAAGCCGAAGAAATTGCGAGGGTGATTTTTTGTTATCATATTATTTCCTCCTTGCTAACATGATTTCTTAGATCCATTCACTCGAACAACTAAGCATTAGTAATCGATATCATTCATAGGTTACTGCGAACAAATGTGCGTTATTGAACTACATTTTACAGTCCAAGTATTTTAACAGTTGTATTTCACCTGGTAGTGAAGGCACTAGTTTCAGACTTAATCCTAGTTAGGTTCAAATGTTTAACAGACTATAAAGTTGTTTTACTATCCGCTTTCCGATTCCCATATACATATGTATATATATATATATATATATAGCCGCTACCTTGATGTGGTGGTCAGACCTGCGTATCATAATGATCCAACGAGCTATGCTTGTGAAACGCTTGTTCCTTCCAGGTCCTACCATACTAGACAGGTCTGTTGGATAGTGGTAAGACGAAAAGCAGTTACCGTTGTAGTGTGAATTACTACACTGTGATAGGGTTCTGAGGGCGAAGTTGTACTGCTGCTAGCTGGATTGGGTGTGATGGCAGTAAGGTGTTTCCCTTGGATGATCAGCAGTGCCATGATGATGCTGGCTTCTCAATGGAATGGGGATTAGAAAAGGTCAGTTTCAAAAATAGCGCACTCCTCCCTGCCTCATGGTCTTCCAGTGCCAGCGGTATGGGTTCTGTCTATCCGGTGTTAGAACAACTAAACCTCAAAACAACATCCCACAAAAGGTTGTGTGTGACAGGTGTTCCATGGACCCTGAGGTCACACAAATCCTTTTCTTTTTCAGGTACCTCAAAAAGAAGTAGGTTTCCACGGTGTAGGCAGCCTGGAATTGTCAACCGCCTGCAAACTTCCAGTAGTACACAAAACCCAATCAAATATAACCTGACCTCTCCAACTGTCTCCTCCCTTGCCTTACCTCCTGACACTGATATTAAGCCTATTACGCCTTACCCAACCCCATTCTGCAACCTTTGTCAACGATCAAAGCGAACAAAACCTCACTTCTGGTCTCCTAAGACCTCGCCATCGATTTCATGTAGGAGGTTTCAACGCCCGTACTCTGTGCCAGCAAGCATCGCTTTCCCGAACTCTATCCATGGATGTATGTTGGGTCTATGAGACGCGTATACAGGACCCGAGTCTGACTATTAAATTGACCTCACGTGACCATAGTGGTGAATCTTCAAAATTCACATTAGGAGTATTCAGAGACCCGATGACTAGCTCTTATGGACTCCCTGGTGTAGTCATAGCGTTGAGCTGTTGGGCAGAAAGTGCACTACGCGACTGGATACCAGTCAACAGCCGTCTATGTGCTGTTTGACCGAATGGATCTGTAAGGACTAGAGAGGATCGTGAGACCAACGGATGCCTATTCGTGATCTCCGTCTACCCACTCACCGACTGTAGTCGGATGACGCAAAGGATGAATTCTATGTGAAACTGTCAATTTCGCTACAGAAAGCAAAACATTCAGAAGTGGTCATAATGACAGGTTAGCCAATCAGAAAGGCAATGTAGTAGATATTTACAGGAGCCGATGCCAACGAACTAACAACGGTGATCGTGTGTTTCAATTTTGTCCGACAATCACTTGTTTCTGGTTAGCAGAAACTGTAAACATCAGGAGATAGAGAGCGAGAATGTCACATATGGCATCCACCGACATCAAACTTATGAGAGATGCAGATGGATGGAATCACTACAAACCACTAATGGAGAGGATCGGTGGAGGATTGGCTTTGTTTCTGGAGTACCAGTTTGAATTCAGATCATGCACCAGTACGGACTCGTGTATGTCTACGCCTTAGTGGTCATAGAAGACAGATGGCAATGAAGCCTGTTTGTGTTCAGTTGGAAGATGAGAACGTCAAGTATGTATTTAGAGAATAGATAGGTACGCATTTATCTGGAAATGACAGCAATGCTCATCGAGATAAAACCTGACGTGATATTAGATCTGCTGTAGAAATGATGGCAATGACAGTTGGCAAGTAACCTACACCTGAAGGTTAACAAACGTCATTGGATTTCTACAACGTCATCGAAACTGATTGGTGTGAGAGGGCTGACTCCAGCTGACTGGCTCTGACCACGATGAAAAACGAAAGCGAAATAAGCGCAATTGACCAAGAGTCTTCGTGTCGATTGCGAGGAGTGGTGAGTTGCGAGAGTGACAGATCGAGAAGGCATTAGCGTTGGGTACCACTTATCAATTATTTAGGCTTATTAGGGATACCGACAAGATGATGACTAGTGAAATCATCACCGAAAAGGATGGGACGCTGATCAGCTCCCAGGACAGGGGGGTGGGACATTGGACAGAACGTTTGGAACCGCAGATCAACTGGCACACAGCAACGCTACAGTTGCTTCACATGCAGCTTGAACCTAAATGGGACGTAGGTGTCGATCTTCCTACTTATTATGAGGTTGAGAAAGCTGTATTGATGAACGTGAAACGATGGGAACCGGCAGGACGAGAAGTTTTCATGAATGGAGGTGGTGAATTGCTGGTTAAGATAATGGATGTACTAGGTTGGTGTGTGTGAATGAGAGGCAGTTCCGTCAAATTGGTATACTTCACTGATTATCCCAGTCTGTAAGAAGGAGAAGTCTTTCTTTGTCAACCATAGGAGAATTAGTTTGGCTAACATTATGTTCAAGATCCTAGAATCCACAGATATCTGATGCCTAACTGGAGCTGGAGAACAGCGAATTCGAGAGAACCAGGCAGGTTTCAAACCTGGATGAGAGTGTGCCGCTTGGATCTTAACCCTTCACACAAGTCCTGATACACAGGCATACTTCTTGACATCCAACATTTACCATACTCTTTTGATCTGAGGGCGGCATTCAACTCTGTCAACCGTGAGGTGTTGTACCATTGTCTGACTGTCCAGGGATTATCAAGCAAGTATATAACGCTAATCAAAGCCCTCTACTCGAACTCAAGCAGACATATAAGCGCTTATGGAGAGTAGCCGTGTGAATTGACAACAGGGATGTCTACTCTCACTGTTCTTATACAACACCCTTATAGATGCACTAATGGGCATAACCTTATGGACATCTGACTTCACAGGGACTGATCTACACCCTAGATACAATCTGGTTGACTTATAGCATGCTAACGGTATTGTCCTTCTTGGTGGAGACACTGGTCCAATGCAGGGTTTTCTGAACGCGTTCAGAAATCTGAGTATGCTTGACATGCGTTTCGCACCTGTCAAATGTGAGATGATGCTGCAAGGCGACTGCTGTGTAACTACTCCTAGTTCAAGGAGGGAAAGTAAAGTGGTGGAATGTGTCGACCACTTGGTTGCTGACGGGATTTCAGCTCTGATTCAGAAGGTTGGTTCAGCATTTGCCAACTTGTGTTATGTCTATCACGGACTGGCGCGATATCCGAATATCTATCAAATGACGAGTGTACAGCACTGCACTCTCTCCTACCCTGTTATACGGCGTCAAAAGAGGAAGACATGAAGCGGTTTAAGGGTTTTGATCACAGATGTCTTGGTAAGACTGCTCGCGTTTGGTGTACTCGCTGGTGTGTTCACACTGTTGTGCTGTTGCGCGGCCATCTATGTCTTTTTCGACTTCGTGTGTCTTCGAGGACGAGGAGGATCGTGTGACCAACGGATGCCTATTCGTAATCTGCGTCTACCCACTCACCGACTGTAGTTCGGATGACTTCAGGTAAACAGATGGTGAAATGGAAGGTGAAAACAAGAATACTCAGTTCGAAGAATTATGAATTACACATAGAGAAAAGGGAAGACTGAGAAAATTGTAAGATTCGGGATAGCGTCGGTTGTGAGCCATGTCACCTAGAGTCTCCCACCACTGGATTCTCCTGTCTTGCAAACCCCAAACGGCTAGACGGCATCGCCTCGCATGGCTCACACCAGCTGTCAATGACTTCATACATTGATGGCATGTTCTAGTCTGACAGCCTCTAGCCTTTATCCAACCTGAACCCACTTCGGGCAACATTGTGTGACGAGGCAATCGGCGACTAGGGATACGTAACACGTGTCCCGACCATCTCAATCGATGAAGGTTCACAACCGTGTCAACTGACTTACCTCTTCTCCCTAAAACTCTACACCTGACTTTTGCTTTACTCGGGTGGTGACACCACGGAATACGGCCTATACTACAAAGGCGACGGTGGTCAAACCTTCGAAGCCTTCTCATGTCTTCCACCTTCAATGGCCATGTTTTACACCCATACAGTAGAACAGAACGGACTGGTGTGCAGTACATGCGACCCTTAATAGACAATCGGATATCACGGCGCCACAGGTGACGCAAGTTGGCGAAAGCCAGTCGAGCCTTTTATATTTGTGCAGAGATCTTATCAGCCACGGAGCCACCAGGGCTAACCCTACTTCCCAGGTAAGTGAAGTGGTCGACACACTCAATCACTACACTCTCTATTGTTAGCCGAAGCCCCGTTGAAGAGCAGTCCTAGAACAACAGTTTGCATTTGGGATGATGAAAAACGCATCCCAAACATTCTCAAATTGTCACTCAGTGTTCAGATGACTGCATCTTCACCTAACACGACTATGTCATCTGCATATTTTAGGTGTAACGAAAATTCCCCTGCGATTAGGTCAACGTCTGTGTAATCAGGTGACGAGAGGGAGACATCGATAAGATTATCTATGATAAAATTGAATAAGGATGGAGACAGTGGGTAGCTTCGACGGACAACACTCGACGAGTAAAGCTCCATGGATATCTCACCATAGGCTCTAACGCGCCCACGTGTTCGAGTAGAGAGCCTTCAATAAGGTGACCTACTTACTCGGTACTCCTTTCAGTGAGAGATATTGCCATAAGACTTCTCGGTCAACAGAGTCAAATGCTGCCTTCAGGTCGAGAAATACAGCTAGTATCGGGCATCGGTAAGCGTATGTTCCAGAGCCTGACACAGTGTGAATATTTGGTCGATACACCTGCGGCCGGGTCTAATGCTTGCCTGCCAGGTTTTTTCGGACTTTCTGTTC